CCCCAACCTTAAGTTTACCTGGACCATCTCTAACACCTCTCTCCCCTTCCTGGACCTCTCTGTCTCCATATCGGGCAACCACCTAGAAACCGATATTCATTTCAAGCCCACCGACTCCCACAGCTACCTAGAATACTCCTCCTCCCACCCACCTTCCTGCAAAAATGCTATCCCCTATTCCCAATTCCTTCGCCTCCGCCGCATCTGCTCCCAGGATGAGGCATTCCACTCCCGTACATCTCAGTTGTCCTCGTTTTTCAAGGACCGTAACTTCCCCTCCTCGGTGGTCGAGAACGCCCTCAACCGTGTCTCCCACATCTCCCGCACCTCATCCCTCACACCCCGTCCACGCAATAAAAACCAAAAAAGAATCCCCCTCGTCCTCACGTACCACCCCACCAACCTCCGGATCCAACGCATCATCCTCCGACACTTCCGCCATCTGCAATCCGACCCCACCACCAAAGACATCTTTCCCTCCCCACCCTTATCTGCTTTCCGGAGGGACAACTCTCTCCGTGACTCCCTTGTCCGCTCCACACTCCCCTCCAGCTCCACCACACCCGGCACTTTTCCCTGCAACCGCAGGAAGTGCTACACCTGCCCCCATACCTCCTCCCTCACCCCCATCCCAGGCCCCAAGAAGACTTTCCACATCAAGCAGATGTTCACCTGCACATCTGCCAATGTGGTATACTGCATCCGCTGTACCCGGTGTGGCTTCCTCTACATCGGGGAAACCAAGCGGAGACTCGGGGACCGCTTTGCAGAACACCTACGCTCGGTTCGCAACAAACAACTGCACCTCCCAGTCGCGAACCATTTCAACTCCCCCTCCCATTCCTCAGACGACATGTCCATCCTGGGCCTCCTGCAGTGCCACAACGATGCCACCCGAAGGTTGCAGGAACAGCAACTCATATTCCGCTTGGGAACCCTGCAGCCCAATGGTATCAATGTGGATTTCACAAGTTTCAAAATCTCCCCTCCCCCTACCGCATCCCAAAACCTGTCCAGCTCGTCCCTGCCTCCCTAACCTGTTCTTCCTCCCACCTATGCCCTCCTCCCACCTCAAGCCGCACCTCCATCTCCTACCGACCAACCTCATCCCGCCCCCTTGACCTGTCCGTCCTCCCTGGACTGACCTATCCCCTTCCTAACTCCCTACCTACACTCACCTTTACTGGCTCCATCCCCGCCTCTTCGACCTGTTTGTTTCCTCTCCACCTATCCTCTCCTCTATCCATCTTCTATCCGCCTCCCACTCTCTCCCTATTTATTTCAGAACCCCCTTCCCCTCCCCCTTTTCTGATGAAGGGTCTAGGCCCGAAACGTCAGCCTCTCTGCTTCTATGATGCTGCTTGGCCTGCTGTGTTCATCCAGCCCTGCACCTTGTTGTCTCCTTTCCCTATTTATCTGTCCTTCCTAAATATTGAATACCCCTGGATGTTCAGTTTCCATCCTTGGTCATTTTGCAGCCATGCCTCCATAATTGCAACTACATTATAACTGTGTGTATCCACTCGTGTTATTAATTTGTCTACCTTATTGCAAATGCTTTGCCCGTTAAGACACAATGATGTTGTACTTGTCTATTTAATCTTGTTCCTTAGCTTTGGCACTATGGCCCCATTTGTTTCTCACATTGTTTTGTTGCCTTCCACTTTTACTTCTTGCTTTTTTGTCTTTCGTTTGTTTCCTTGTTTCTCCCTTCTCTGCCTCCCTGATCAGGTTCCCATCCTCCTGCCATTCTACTTTAACCCCTCCCTCACAGCACTTGCAAACAGCCCCGAAAACATTGATCCTGATCCTGCCCAGATACAAACTTGTCCTGTTTGTACGTAGCCCCATCTCCCCCAGTCTCAGTGCCCCAGGGGTCTGACTCCCTCCCTCCCTCCTACACCTTTTCCCAGCCATGTAGTCATTTGATATGACCTGTTATTTCTATACTTACCACCACATGGCACTGGTAGTTCTTCTCAGTGTACTACCATTGATGTCCTATTTTATAATTTATGTCCTAATTTCCTATACTCGGCTTTCAGGATCTCATCCCTGTTTCTTAACATATCCTTTACCTTATTCATTCCCGGGATGAGGGTGTCACTGGCTAAGCAGCATTTATTGTCCATCCCTAATTGCCCAGAGGGCAGTTAGGAGTCAACCACATTGCTGTGGGTCTGGACTGGATCCTAAAGGACATGCTCTGTGGGTCCTAAAGGACATGAGTGAACCAGATGGGTTTTTCCAACAATTGACAATAGATTCATGGTCATCATTAGATTCTTAATTCCAGATATTTATTGAATTCTAATTCCACCATCTGCCATGGCAGGATTCGAACCCGGGGCCCCAGAACATTATCTGGGTCTCTAGATTAACAGTCCAGTGATAATACCACTAGGCCACTGCATCCACTGTTGTGTTGTACTACAAAGGGGTGGTTGACTCTCTCTGATAATTAAAACTGAAACGCCCAGAGAAGCTCGTCTCACCTTGTAATCTGTTAAAGGAAATGTGAAAAGTGGTATAACCTGCCTCTCACCTCCCAATCTTTTATAAAGGAGAGGTGAAATAAAATGAACTCCTGACAGTCACTCTACAATCAACAAGTAACAATTTAGTTATTTAACTCTAACAGTAAACAAATTAACAGAACTACTGACAAACCAAACAATTCCCCCTTAACTTCTAACTATTCCCGAATAAAACAAAATTCTAATCGTATGGTGTTCCAGTAGATACAATTCCCACTTACATAAACCAAATTAATGAAAAAAAAAGCTTAATCTCTTGAAATTACAGTCAGGATAAGGCTTCCAGAATATTCTTTGCCTTCTCAGCTGTCCTTCAGTCAGGGAACGTCTTCCTCCATCGAATTCTTTTGTCAGGAATATTAACTAAGAGTGCCACTGTACCTTTAGTTTACATGGTACTTACTCTGAGATCTTAGAGATTTCTGTGAGAGCCAGTGATTTTTTTCTTTCTTTAGGGCTGATGGCTGTTGAGAGCTGTTCTCTTAACAGATGGCAGTTTACTCCCACACTGATTTTCAAATGTCCTCTTCTTTTATACCCTTGATTACTATCAATTTTGTCAATACCATCAGATTTAAATTTAATTGGGCTTTAGATTCCAGGGCCTGATTTCAATTAATTGGCTAAATTCAAAAACATGTTGTCTTGGTAAAAATGCTGCTTTGCCTGGTAACAGTATAGCATTTGATTCAATGTTTCAATTTCAAAAACTGTGTGCATCTGCTTCTGCCTGAAGACATTTTTAATCTCCAAAAACACATCCTTTAAATGGACCACACACTCTTCCCCGCTATCATTTTACAAACAAATTCTAATCTCCTGCCTTCCAATCCACAAGTACTATACCAACTTCACAACAATTATTGGTACTGATATATACCACGAACATTTGCTGTTTATCCTTCCCCTTCAGAGTTTGCTGTCTTTGATGAAAACGTGTTATCTTAGATAAAACACGCTGCTGCACTCACAGCAGTGTCTACCTCTACGTTCTTTGACTTTACCTAATTATCCATGGTTCTTTCCTTCCCAGTTTCCCTTTCAGACTCATTCTTACAAACTCCAATGAATCCCTTGGGTTTTCCTTCAACTTCAAGCATTCTGCACAAATATGTCCCACCTTGTTACTATAAAACACCTCAGCCTCACCTCCACCTTCAATGCTTTCCTCACTGTTCTGAGGAGACTTTGGGTCATTCGCAACTGTCCGTTCCTTTCCTTGAATATTTGCCTCCCTCTCACTCACCCATTTCCATCCCTTTCAAATTTATAAGAGTGATGGAAAAAGATTTAGTTTTATGGATTAATTCATAATCATCAGCCATTATTGCTAACTGTCTAACAGTTGCAATTCTTTGGTCCTCAACATGGCTTCTTATTATGGAAGGTAGTGAGTTTTTGAATTCTGCTAAAAGCTACATACATTTTACAGTTTCAATTTCTAATGCTCGTATCCACCTGTTAAAATTACTTTGCTTGACCCTTCTGAATTCAATACAGGTTTGCTTAGGCCGTTTCCTTCAATTCCAGAACCTTTGTCTACATGCTTCAGATACTAACTCATATGTGGCCTTGTTTACAGCATCATAATCCTGAGAAAAATCCTCTGACAGTGAAACGTAAACTTCTTGTGCTCTATTTGTCAACTTACATGAGTAAAGTCCATTGTTGAGGTTGTAGACCTGCTCACCGAGCTGGTGTGTTTGATTACAGATGTTTCGTCACCCTGCTATGTAACACCATCAGTGCGTCTCTGTTGAAGCATTGGTGTTCTGTCCCGCTTGTTATTTATATGCCTCGGTTTGCTGGCGTGGTTGGCATTACTTCCAGTCCTTTTTTTCAGTGGTTTGTATAATGGGTCCAATTCAATGTGTTTGTTGATGGAGTTCCGTTTGGAATGCCTGGCCTCCAGGATTTTCCTGGCATGTCTCTGTTTGGCTCGTGCTATTATGGATGTATGGTCAAACTGCATTGTCAAACTGACAATAAGGATACACAAACACCAACTAGCCACTAAGAGACACAACCAATTCTCACTGCTCTCAATACACACACACAAAGGACACAAATTCGACTGGGACAACACATCCATAATAGCATGAACCTAACAGAGACATGCCAGGGAATTCCTGGAGGCCTGGCATTCCGAACGGAACTCCATCAATAAACACATTGAACTGGACCCGTTATACAAACCACTGAAAAACAGAACTGGAAGTAAAGCCACTCATCCCAGCAAACTGAGGCATATAAATAACAAGCAGGACAGAACACCAATGCTTCACTGGAGGCGCATTGACGATGTTACCTAGCACGGTGATGAAACATCTGTAATCAAACACACCAGCTCGGCGAGCAGGTCTATAACTTCATCCACAACCCAAGCTACAAGTCTTCTCAAAAACTTTAAATGTCAATTGTTCCTTCAGTTCATTTATTTGTATTGCTATTTTCTCAAAGGCCATAAAGAAAGGCCATTAGATATAGATCTTAGAACCAGAGAGATCAAAGAATATGGGGAGAAAGCGGGTACTGATCATATTGAATAGTGGAGCAGGCTCGAAGGGTCAAATAGCCTACCCCTGCTACTGTTTTCAATGTTTCCCTTTAGGATCTTCCACATTTCAATGAGACCACCTATTATTCTCTTAAAGGAAGACAGAACGTTGATACGATTCCCAGGTTTGTTACTATACCTCGAGTGCAAGTGTCCTCCGAAACCCCAGATGTAAGCCACAGCGAGGATGTTCCTGGCCAGTATATAGTTCTTGGGCAGGATACTGTCATCAAGGCGGGCACGCTGATGTTGTGATGTGACTTTGGTCTGCTCTGTACCTTCTGTACCTTCAACAGAAATGTTTATATCATTTGCAACAATGTTGTGTCCACTGGACATGGGAAACTATGAAGAGACTCCCCCCAGATTCCAGAAATGACACCAGAATCCACCTCACACTGTTCTGAGGAAGGGTTACTGGACTCAAAATGTTAACTCTGTTTTCTCCTCCACCGATGCTGCCAGACCTGCTGAGCTTTTCCAGCAACTTTGTTTTTGTTCCTGATTTACAGCATCTGCAGTTCTTTCTGTTTTTACTAGATTTCACCTGTTGGATAGGAGTCAGATTCAAACTGGCTTCACCTAACACTCAACCAGGGTGCTGAGAGGGACAGAGGGTGGTGGGAGGGAATGGGAGGCAGGATCAGGATGTTTAGTGGGGTCAGCAACTTTAAGATGGTGGTGGTAGCTGGCAGTGATAAGGAGTTTAAATCAGTGCACATTCTTCCACTGATTACAAGTGGGGCACTGGCAGCTGATTCAAGGCTTTCACCACTGCACAAATATAGACAGAAAATCTCAATCCATACTGACTGAGCTGCAGTTTATATATCATCCCAGAATTGAGCTTCACTCAGTACATAACCCTGTGCTATCAAAGAGTAACACAGCATGGAAACAGACTCTTTGGTCCAACTAGTCCATGCTGACCATATTCCCAAACTAAACTAGTTCCACCTGCCTGCATTTGGCCCATATCCATCCAAACATTTCCCATTCATGGACCTGTCCAAATGTCTTTTAAATGTTGTAACTGTACCTGCATCTACCACTTCCTCTGGAAGTCCATTCCACAAATAAACCACCCTCCGTGTAAAAACATTGCCCTTCATGTCCTTTTTGATCTTTCTCCTCTCACCTTAAAATATGCCCCCTAGTTTTGAACTCCCCCACTCAAGGGAAAAGACCTTACTATTCACCTTATCTATGCCCCTCTTCATTTTATAAACCTCTATAAGGTCACCCCTCAACCTCCTATGCTCCAGTGAAAAAAGTCCCAGCCTGTCCAGCCTCTCCTTATAACTCAAAACCTTCCATACCCAGCAGCATTCTGGTGAACCCTCTCCTGTAACAGGGTGACCAGAACTGCACACAGTGCTCCAGAAGAGGCCTTACCAATATCCTGTACAACATCAACATGATGTCCCATCTCCTATACTCAAAGGTCTGAGCAATGAAGGCAAGCATGCTAACGCATTCTTAACCACCCTGTCCATGTAGAGAGAGTTCTACCTTGCATCTAACCCCATACTGTCCCTGGCCTGGGAGTGTTTGATGGGGACAGTGTGGAGAAGCTTTGCTCTGTATCTAACCTCATGCTGTCCCTGTCCTGGGAAAGGTTACTGGGGACAGTTAGAAGGAGCTTTACTCTGTATCTAACTCCCATGCTGTTCCTGTCTTGGGAGTGTTTGATAGAGGCAGTGGAGACGGAGCTTTACTCTGTATCTAACCCCGTGCTGTATTGTCCCTTTGAGTGTTTGATTGCGTCCCTGGAATGTGAGGTGCTCTGTTCACTGTTTTACATCACTCATCTTTGTTGGGTCATTGATCTTACCTGCTGAGTCCTCTTGCTGCTGGTCACGTAACAGGTGTTTATCAAGGAGAACCTTAAGAATGTTTGTGAAGGTCATCACCTCTTGCAGGCCCTGTGCCACTCGGTTCTGTTGGATCATGCTGTAATCTGCTTGCTGGGTCAGTGCAGGGATACAGTGCTGCTCCAAGAAAGCAATAGTTTTTGGAATAAGATCCTGCCCGAGTCGTGAAAACAGCTCAACAATGTTGCGAGGCACACTGTAGTTACTGTATATCTTCTTCAACATGTTGGCCAATACAGCCTCCCACATGTGACTTCCCTGACAATGGACCACGTTACACCAGGTCACTGCTGAAGGAGGGGCATTGCTGAGGTCCGTCACTTCAAAAATGAGGGAAGTTGATTCTATTAAGGGGATTTGGTCCCCATTGGACAGGGTGAGGGATTGCTTGCGAGTTAACAAACTGCTGATGGGGCCCAGCCAATCTAAACACAGTTCACCATCCAACACAATCCACCTGAGAGGTTCTGGGCAGTGACAGACTTTCACCTGAGGTGACTGAAACTCCTTGACAAGTGCCCTGGCCTGGGACCAGCTTTTACCCTCACTCAGCCACTTGGAGACAATCCCGTTCTTCCAGATCTGATGATCCATGGCTCCCAGGAGCTCCTCTGTGGATAGGCTGTTCGGGAAACAGACAGAGACTTGCACAGTTCTGTATGGGGGGTCAATACTTTCAGACTGATGTGCAGCCGACTTCGGCTCATTTCTGGCCAAAAGATTCAACGTCCTTGACAATGTTCTGTATGAGGTAGTCTTGCCACTGCCTGAACATCCAACCATGATCACTCCTTTGCTAACCTTTAGTGTTTGGTAAAGTACAAGGATGTTATTAACTGTTTGCTTGTTCACATAATGGTCTGTGTCCACCAGCTCCTGTTCAATGAAGGATAGGAGATGGGAATCAGGCTCAGAATTATTAAATGGGATACAGGACTGTGGAAACAGGTCTGTCAGTAAACCCTTCAGACTGAGGAGGTTCTCCTGGTCTGACACAGCTGGAAACAGAGTTAAAATGAGTGCTTTCAGGATTGCATATTCTTCAACCAAGAGAATCGATTTAAAAACAGGTGTTGATATATTTCCACTGAACTCTTCTGACTCATTGGCTTTACTTGTTGAACTAGCAATTGGCTGCTGAGATACTAACAGACATTGTTCAACATTGTCTGCCTTCACCCTACCTCCGTCAGAGACTTCCTGTCCTCTCTTCCCCTTCTGCTCATCTTGGCCTTCAGAGGCCGGAGGTTGGGGGACATTTGAAAGTCTTTTGGACTGATTGCTAGTGGGTTCTGGGATCTTTGCCTGTAATGTTTGGTAAAGGACTTCTGCTGCAATGTCTATGACTTTTTCCATCAGTGGTAAGTAGCAGCAATCTGTAATGGAACAGGAATCCTTTATCATCTCGAAGATTGTAAGAACTTTTCCAGATAAATGAGGAGCCTTTAAGAAGCCAATGGAGATGAGTTTCACTTCAATGATCACCTTCACATCTGGCTCAATCACACTGACCGGCCTCAACAACAACCGAAGATTCTCGGGAATTGAAAGACTGGAATCAAATCTTTGAAGGGTTACAAAAGCACCATAATTCACCCTGGCTGGGATGATATTTCCTGCGAACACAACACTTCCTAGGGTGGTTGGGTCAAACTGCCTCTGGCATTCAGAGCTCCAGGTATACCTGTAGCTGGTGTGCATGTTCTCACTATCTGGTGCACTCACCAAATTGGTTCCAAACTCCTTCCTGTGAGGACGAGTTCCACAGTCCGTGTACGATCTGTCAGAAATATCTTTTGTGGTTAATTCCCTGTAGGAATTCTGAATGCTGTTCAAAAGCTGGCCCAGAACCGACAATGTTCCCATTGGCAGAATGTCAGTGTTCTCCAGCACCAGCCAGGCACCCGATTGAATGGCACCACTCAGAATGCGGGTGATGAATGCCAAGCTCATATTCTTGCAGCACTGGAAGATAACCAGCTGATAGCCAAGCACCTGGGCTAAGTGTGAGATGGTTGAGCTCTTACCAGTGCCATAGGTCCCAACAAGAGCACATGGATTGAAGTTTTGAAGAGCAAAGATCATTGCCAGGCACATTCTCTCAGTTACTGGATTCTGCACACACACAGTCTTCGGGCTGATATATTCATAGTCATAAAAGTAGTTATTGCCCAAGAGATTAATGTAACATCTTAGGCCAAACTTGGACTTGTCACTACCTGGCACTGAATGCCCAAAGTGAGTGGCCAATGGTTTCAAGGATTCTCTTCTGGGGAAAATCCAATTAAAACCAAATTGATATTTTATGAATTTGTGCCACTCGAACGAAGCCTCAGATTGGATGTTTGAGGCAATAAGATTGTCAGCAATATCTCGGTGATTCATTGACTTGGAAATCAAACACTTCAACAAGAGCAGAACACGTGGGTTGTCAGCCTCCTTATAGGAATGCTTGCAGAGCCCACGGACACTCATCACTAGTCTGTCGATCTTGGTACTGTAAAGAGTTTTGAACCACTCTTTACTGATTGATCTCTTGAACAACACTTTCTTCATGTCACTGAGCCAACAGAAGTCTTCAGCGATCAGGATGCACTGCACTGGGAAACTATTGGCTAATTTTAAAATTGGCTTCATCAACTGTGCTGCCTTGTAGGCTTCAGATCTGCCCAAGGATTCCACCATGATCTTACTGTTGATTTCCCTAGCCAAAGCTGTCCTCTCTGCGACACAGCTGTCCAGGGAAAGGAACAGGTTTTGTTGAATCCGGAGCTCCAGGTTCCGTAACCAAGGGATGGTTTTAGGGGCAGCTTCCAGTGGCGGGGTTAGATTGACTCTTTCCTGTAGATCCCCATGAATTGCTAACACATTAACTCTAGGTGGGATTATCAGATTGGGACTGTTTATGACCTGATACTCAAGGTCCTGTATCCCCCTGAAACATTTTGTCACAAAAGGCAGCAGCTTACGGGGATCAGAGCTCAGGGTCAGCAAATGCAACAAGTCATCATCACTCAGGAAGTATAGACGTGGGAATTCCTGCCGAGCAGATTCCAGGAGATGATTCATCTGGAGAATGATCTCTTCCATGGCCTCAATTCCAGTGCTGAAGATCATCCTGAGGGTCATCCCCTGGTACTTTTTAGTGTCTTGGGAGAGGATGACAGATAGAACTGAGGGGTTGCTGGATAGGGTTTGAATCACCCAGCGATACAATCCATCCACCACTTCAATCTTCTTCATCTAGGAGACAAACATGAGAGAGCTTGTGAAGCATTAATAATCAGCCTGTTTCCAGGACACAGACAGCCCTGTCCTGTACGCTCCTTGGCTCTCTCTCCTAACTGTGTCCTAACTTCCTGATTACCTCCTAGGCATAGCATTACCTCACTATAGGAACTGAGCACGGCAAGCTCCTTGTCCAGGGCACTGGTTTCTAACTCACAAGCCTTGTCAATCTGTTCCTGCTCAGATGCCCAGCTGGAATAAAGACCTCTGATTGGACAGTCAAAAGCACTGGACCCAAGTAATGATAAAGCTCAGGGCTGTGCAGGGGTAGGCAGCATTTAAGGCCCAGTGCAGGAATAATAAGAATAAAGGACATGGAACTAAACAAGGACCAAAGAGAATGTTTCTCACAGTCCCTGAGATACACAGGGCTTGAGGAGATGTTCCAGTTCAGGGCAGGAGAGGGTGAGAGGTGACATAATGAGGGAAGTGATGAGAGAGGAAGGGAGTGAGTACTTGGTTGTGGGAGGGACCTGAGGAGAGGGGGAGGGGGGGGGAGTGAGGAGAAGAAGAGGGAGGAGGGCAGAGTGAAGAGAGAGGGAGGAAGGAGACAGGAGTGAGGAGAGGGGGAGGGGTGAGTGAGGAAAGGAGAGGCGGAGGAAGGAGAGTGAAACAGTGGTGGGAACTGATGGATGGAAAGGAACAAAGTGGGCCTGAGTTCCCCTCTCCACTCTGCCCAGGGACATGCCATCTAGCCTGGACAGTGGATGTATCTCTGAAGTTAGACTATCAGGTACGTCCTCGGAAGAGGGGTGTGGGTGGACAGGTTTATTCTTCACACCTGGACATAGAGGGCTAGGTCATTCCGTGCTGCAGTCCCTGGCTTCAACATGCCATGGGGCCTGTTGTGTAGTGGTAATGTCACTGGCGTGGTAAATCAGAATCCGGGCCTGGGATGTGGTTTCAAATCTCATCACGGCAGATGGTAACATTTGAATTCAATAACATCTAGAATTAAAAGCTGGTCTAATGGGACCAACCAAACTGCTATTGCTTGTTGTAAAAACCCATCTGGTTCACCAATGTCCCTACCTGGTCTGGTTTACATGTGGCTCTTTATTGCCCTCCAGACAGGGGGTCAATTAGCCCAGTTGGCTGGACAGCTCATTTGCAATGCAGGGAGACAGGTTCAATTCCCTCACTGGCTGAAGCTACCGTCAAGGTCCCACCTTCTCAATCTCTCCCCTCACCCGAGTCATGTTGACTCTCTGGTTAAACCACCACCAATCTTCTTTCTCTCTCTCTGTGGTCAGAGAGCAGCTTCTATGGTCTGGTATGATCCATGACACTCCAGGAAATTAGTGGTGGGGAATAAACGCTGTCAATGACATGTTCCATATATGAATTACTAAAAAACCTACTTCTTTCTTTGATGAGGATGTAGTGGCACAGCCTCAATGCTGGGAATGGAGTGAGTTGTAGGCTGCTTCAAACAGGTAACTCATCACCGGTACAAAAGTGAAATACTGTGGATGCTGGAAACAAACACAGAGAAACAGAGGAGAGTGAAGAGAGGGAGAGGGAGGAGAGAAAGAGGGAAGGATGAGGCAGAATGATGAGGGAAGGAAGATGAGAGAAACAGAGGTGGAAGCTGGAGGATGGACAGCCTGGGCCTGGGCTCCCACTTGAATTTGCACAGGAACATGCCATCCAGCCTGGGCAGCGTGAATGTCTGACTATGACTCTTTGTTTCAGAACGGTTCTTAAGAAGAGTCATACTGGACTTGAAAAATTAATGCTGTATCTCTCTCTACAGATGCTTGCAGACCTGCTGAGATTCTCCAGCATTCTCTTTGTTTGTTTCAACTCCTCACCTGCTGTATTTAACACTCTTCAACCTAACTCCCTTCTACTATAATCCTTCTACTCCTCACCTTCCTGTCCCAGAGAGTCCAAGGTTCTGGATTTTCGCTCCTCCTTCCCAGCTCTGTGGCTGGGAACTGAGTGCTTCACAGCTCCAAAGATTAGGAAGATGTTCCATCAAACCTTGGGTGAAAGGAAGCTGCCTGACCGGTGATTCTGAGATTACTAGTTATGTCTCTAATCCATTTTCCTTTCTCAGGTTCTGCTCTGACTAGGAGCCACTCACCAAACTTGGATCTGGTTTCCGAGCATTCAGCTCCATCTCGTAAAAGACCTGGTGAAGAAAGACCCACTTATCCTGGAACATCTTCCACAGATCCAGCAGCTCTCCTGGAGAATGAGAGAAGGAGACATGGGAATGCAGAATGGAGGAGAAGGACCTACAGGACATAGATCTTTAAACCAAACAGCTTGTGTGTCAATTGGGTATTTCCATTTCTGGCTCTTTCACAATTGGAGGCGCTGCTGTGCTGTGAGGATTGGGATTATGTTTAGTCGGCGGAGATGATTTGGGAGGCAGCAGCGTGGTATGGAAGTGATGAGGGTGGGAGTAGGACCCTGGAGACAATGTGTTGATAATTTCAAGGCGATGAGGCCGGCCAGCACTGGATGGAAAGTGGGCTCTGGAGTTTTGGTTTTTGTGGCTGTAAGATTAGCTGAAAGAGGGCTGATGATGTTAATATATAGATTATGTGACTTACCAAAGTGCTGGATCATTTCCATAAGTTTCTCAGCTTCTTCCTGAATGTTTCCAAGTGCTGTCGTAGACACAATCATGCTCAAGGTCATCAAACTATCCTCAGTCTGCCATCTCACTCTCTCCATCTCTGGGTCAGACAGGTGACATGTCAGACTCACAAAAGCTGGTCAATGACTCACCTCTTACCCTCCCACTTTTCTCCATATAATAACCAATTTTATTTCATTTTATTTTTACAATTATAGCCAGTCTCCCTCTCTGAACTCAGCCATTATCTCCTTAGCTCCAAATATCATATCTAATAAACTCATCCTTCTTCATTCAGCATCAGCATTCTTGAATTCTAAACAGCAACAGTACAAAAGCAGGCTATTCAGCCTGTCATATCCATTCTGGCTCTCTCCAAGACCAATTGAGTTAGTCCCATTAAGAGCCAGCATACCAACACAGTGCCAAGAATATGAGGAACTTCAACTTCTCCCCCTCACCCATTTTGGTTTGTTGAAGCAAGCTACAAGCAGCAGCAACACCTCAAATTTATATCAAACCTTTAATGTCAAACATTCCCAGGTGCTTCAATGGGGCTTAACAAATTTAATTATCAAACTAATTTTCCTTGATCCATGTAAAGAAATTTTAGCTTTAAGTGTCCACAAGTTTGGTCAAAGGTTTTAAGGAACATCTTAAAAGAGGAGAGTGGGATAGAGAAGCAGAAAGATTTAGGGAGGGAATTCCAGAGCTTGGGTCCCAGGCAGCTGCAGGTTCAGACACTGATGGTGGGTCAACTGAAAACAAAAAATTCTGGAAATCACAGCGGGTTAGACAGCATCCGTGGAGAGACAGTAAGCAAACCTTTCAAGCCTAAGATGTCTCTTCATCAAATATTAAAAGGCTAAAGATAAGTTACTTAAAATGATACATGACAAAAGTGATAGTGCAAAGGGATCAGTGCTGGAATCACTGATATTTATCATTTACAGAAGCAATTTTTACCCAGGAACTCCACATTTCATGTGGAATATAATGGGGGTAAGATTATCTATTTCGGTGGGAGGAGTGGAGGTGCAGAATATTTTATAAAAGTGAGAGATTTGAAAAAGTTGACATCCAAAGGGACCTGGGTATCCTTGTCAATTCATCACTGAAGGCTAATGTACAGGTGCAGCAAGCTATTAGTTAGCCTTTGTCACAAGAATGCTTTAGGGCAGGTGCAAAGGTGTCTTGTTGCTGTTGTACAGAGCCCTGATGAGACTCAGGGTGAGCCCTGTGTGAAGTTCTGGTGCCTTGCTATAGAGGGAATGCAGCAGAGGCACACCAGATTGCTCCTGGGATGGCAGCATTGTCTCTGTGAGGAACCTTGCTTGGTATTCAGTGACTCTTAGAAGAATGAGAGGGGACGTCATAGAAATATATAAAATTCTTGCAGGAATCCAGTCAATAGATGTGAGAAGGGTACGGGTGGTGGTGACAGTGGAGAGATGGGTTGCAAGTTGGGGATATCTGGAACTAAGGGACTCAGGATAAGGCACAGTCCATTTAGGAGTGAGACATGGAACAATATCACTCCAAGAGTGGAGAATCTTTGTAACTCTGTACTCCACAGGCTGTGGAAACTCAGTCATTGAGAGGGTTCAAGTTCGTAGGTTTGTAGTTACTGCTGACAACAATGGAGAGGAGGATAATACATGAATATGGAGTTGAGGTAGATGATCTGTCAGGATCCAAAAACGGCACAGTAAGCTCGAGGGTTTGAATGGCCTACACCTGCTTGTATGTTTACATAAATTGGAATAAATTTTCCAAATTCATATTGTTACCCAATCAGTAGGGTGCAGGTGATACAGGGAGGAATGTGGTAAAATACAGGAAAAAAAATAATAAATTTGCAAACTGAGTGTGTTATTGACAAGTAATCTTCAATATAGAAAATATGAGCTGGTACATTTTGATAGGAAGAATATAGAAGTCACATTCTCCCATTGTTTGTGATGTCTCATGGTCATTATTGCTTTAAGAGGCATGCTCATGATATCACTACCGTATCACAGCATATAACCTGACACTATAAAGATCTCAAATTCCATATTAACAGGAGACCACTTGATATATGACTCACTGTTGAAAATGTGCTATTATCTGCCACTGAAAAGCTTAATCTTACCTCAGACACTGAAGTGCCTGTGAATGTGAGATATGTATCTACCAGGAGCTGTAATAAATGTCTGTTGAATCTTTCAATACCACATTCTTTACATCTAATTCTGATGTTACAGGAACTAACATAAGCATTGCCCTTTCACATACTAATATCCAACTGAGGGCAAAAACCCAAAGCACTGTTGCAGATGTAGCTTCTCTGGGGTTAAAAGAGGGATAGAAACATAAAAAATAGGGGCAATGTAGACCATTCAGCCCTTAACGCCTGCTCTGCCTTTCAATATGATCATGGCTGATCATCCAACTCAGGCCCCTGTTCCTACTTTCTCTCCTTTCCCTTTTTTCCTTTTAGCCTTAAGGATTATATATAAAACTCCTTCTTGAAAACATTCAGTGTTTTAGCCTCAGCTACTTTCTATCATATAGAATCCCACAGGCTCCCCACTCTCTTGGTGAAGACATTTCTCCTCATCTCAGTCCTAAATGACCAAACCCCTATCCTTAGACGATGACCCCAGGTTCTGTTCTCACCGATAAGGGTCAGTGTTCCACTGTTTTTTGCAGCCCAGCCTTCCTGAGGTGGATGATGTTTTCCGCCTTGGGGTCTTTCAGATCCGTTGGGATGAGGCTCCTGATAATGAAACACTGCAATGTGTGTGACAAATTTGAACTCATAATGTTGCCAGAGTTTCTCTACTGACCGCAAGAGTTTCTGAATTTCAAATTCCTTCTTGGCTTTGATTAATATCTGGAAAGAGGAGGACAAGAAGAGATTAGCCAAAGTTGTTCCCTTGTTTAAGAAAGGAAGCAGTGATAATCCAGGAAATTATAGGCTGGTGAGCCTGATGTCTGTGGTGGGGAAGATTTTGGAGAAGATACTGAGGGACAAGATATATGCATATTTAGAACACAATGGACTAGTTCGTGACAGGAAGCATGTTTTGTACGGGGAAGGTCATGTCTCATGAACCTGATTGAACTTTTAGAAGAGGTGATAAAGAGAATTGATGAGGGAAGGGCTTTGGATGTAGTTTATATGGACTTTAGTAAGGCATCTGATAAAGTCCCACATGGCAGGTTGGTACAAAATCTAAAATCACATGGGATTTGGGGTGTGCTGGCTAGATGGATACAAAACTGGCTTGGTCATAGAAGACAGAAGGTAGTGGTGGAAAGGTGTTTTTCAGAATGGAGATCAGTAACTAGTGGTGTTCCACAGGTCCTTAGGTCCTCTGTTGTTCGTGGTACATATAAATGATTTGAAGGGAAATGTTGGTGGTCTGATTATTAAGTTTGCAGATGACATGAAGATTGGTTGAGTTGCTAATAGTGCTGACGATTGTAAAAGGATACAACAGGATATTGATAGATTGGCGACTTGGACACAAATGGCAGATGGAGTTTAATCCAGACAAATGCGAGGTGATGCATTTTGGAGGATCAAATTTAGGTATGAATTATGTTGTAAATGGCAGAACCCTTAGGAACATTAACATAAAGATGGATCTGGGCATGCAGGTCTGCAGTTTTCTATAAGTAGCAAAACAGGTGGTCAAGATGATTAAGAAGGCATATGGCATGCTTGCCTTCATTGACCAGGGCATGGAGTACAAGAGTTGGCAAATCATGTTGCAGCTATATAAAACCCTTGTTAGGCCGCATGTGGAGTATTGTGTGCAGTTTTGGTCACCACACTACCAGAAGGATGTGGAAGCTTTGGAGAGAGTGCAGAGAAGGTTCACCAGGATGTTGCCTGGTCTCGAGGGCATTGACTATGAGGAAAGGTTAAAAGGGCTAGGATTTCCTTCATTGAAAAGATAGTGGCTGAGAGAAGATCTGATAGAGGTCTCCAAAATTATGAGAGGCGTAGGGGGATAGGGTGGATAGTCAGAGGCTTTTCCTCAGGGTTGAAATTTCAGTTATAAGGGGGCACTGGTTCAAGGTGAGAGGGAAAAAGTTTGATGGAGATGTGCAAGGGAAGTTTTTCACACAGTGTGGTAGGAGCCTGGAACGCATTGCCAGAGGTGGTGGTGGAAGCGGGCACATTGGCGACATTTAGGCATCTGGATGGTTACATGAATAGGGAGGGAATAGTGGGATACGAACTGAATAAGGACAGAAAGTTTGTTTTTTGGATTAGTTAGGACATGATGATCGGTACAGGCTTGGAGGGCTGAAGGGCCTGTTCCTGTGCTATACTTCTCTTTTGTTCTTTTGATAATGGTGAACATCTCGCAGTGTGCAGTGCATAAAATTATCAGTGAGACAGCAACATTCCCAAGGTTCCTGAGGAACAGCTACATGTCCCTACCTATTGACAACATGAAGACAGCACTACAGCTCAGCTCCAGGCTGATAGTGACCTCCTCAGGCTCCAGGCTCAGTTGACTGTGCCCACATCACCTTGGATACTTTGATGAGCAGCTTGTTGACTTTCTCCACTGACAGGAAAGTCACTGCCTCTGCACAAAGCTGGTTCGTGATGTAGCAGGGCAGCTGTTTTATTGCGTACTTGTACTGCATTTATTACAACCAGGTCAGCTAGTTACAGTACAGAAAATAGGTGCAGGAGGAGAACATTCTACCCATCAAGACTGTTCCAGCTTTTATTACAATCAGACCTAATCCTGGGCTTCATTTTCACAGTCCTGCCCATTCCCATATTAGTGGATTCCCTGGTACCAATATTCGTCTATTCCAGCTTTAAATATATTGGGGTTGAGAATTCCAAATATTCACGACCCTTAAAGAGAAGAAATTCTCCTCATCTCAGATCAAAATGATGATCTCTTTATCCTGAGGCTGTATGCCCACGTTCTAGATTCCTCAACCCAGGCAGAAACAATCTCTCACTGTCAACCTTTCATAATCTTGTATGTTTTACTGAGATTTCCTCATTCCTCACAGCTCCAGAGAAGATCCAACCTCTTGTCATCGGCCAACCCACCCATCATTACTATGGTGATTCCAGCTGTTTGCCTGGACTATGCTGACAGGGATAATTGCCCTTAACTGGGCTTTCAGATTGGCACTGTGCTGCACCATTGCCCTACCATGGTGAACTGGGTAGGTCCAAACAGGAATAGACAGAGAAAGAGCCAATCACAGAGATTGCCTGTGTATTGCCAGCATTTGTTGTTTACGGTATTTGCTAAGCCCTCTGTTTACTAACCCACCCCTCTTCCTCCTCTCACGACTCCTTCCTGCCCGTCTTCACTACTCCCGTCCTCCAGTTCACTTTGCTCTGCTTCTATTGGAACATCAGGAGGCCATGCAGCCCTTACAGCGTATTCTGCCATTCAGGCTGAACTGTGATAACCTCGTAAAAACCAAAAGAACTGCGAATGCTGTAAATCAAGAACAAAAACAAAGTTGCTGGAAAAGCTCAGCAGGTCTGGCAGCATCTGTGAAGGAGAAAACAGGGTTAACATTTCGGGTCCGGTGACCCTTCCTCAGAACTCATAACCTCGTACCCTTTAACATTTTCATAACAACTAATCTCCTAGTATCATTTTCAACATTCACAATTGCTCCCACTCTTGTGTGGAGTTGTTTCCACATTTCATTCCTGAAAAGTCTGGCTCGAATTTTAGACTCAGCCCTGAGTCTGAGATTCCTCCCCAACACTTTGCCCCTCCCCCATTGCTCCATACCCCCTGCTCTCCCACTCTGTCCTGTCCTCAGTATTGTTCAGTACATGTGGGTGCCTGCCTACTGAAGCAGTGTGTTTGGGACGCGGATCAGTGAGCTCACTTACCTGTGCGATAAAGTCACTGTAACTGGGAAGGTCATAGGACAGAAGCTCAGATAGGGTCATGTCCCACACAGGATTCCAGGTCTCTCCCATCTCTGAAACCAGAATACAATTCAATTTCAGCCAACATCAACATCAATCTCAAACCCAAAGTTAACCTCAGGCCCAGCATCAACCTTAAACCCAGCTTCAACCTTAAACCCCAAGCTCAACCCCACATTTGGTTTGGACTCTACATTTGGTTCTGATGCCAGTCCATTTTCACTCGCCAGGGAGGAACTGTGTGTGGGTTGAGAGTTTTGGTGGACTGAGTTTTGATGCGCTATTCACACAGGCAATGCTTCATTGAGCAATCAACACATTCACAATAGTACATTTCAGCTAAAAAGCACTGTAGAAGCAATTACACCTGGACAGAATGATGCCTGGACTGAGAGACACCTGGTCAGAATAATACTGAGGCAAAATGACTCGTGGTCGGAGAATCACCTGGGGAGACAGACTATTCACACTGGGTGACATTTGGACAGGGTCAACACTTTACTGTACCCTGGTGACAGTTAGCACCTTCAAGAGAGGACAGGACCATATGAAATTATGATTTTGAAGCTAAAGTAGGCCATTCAGCCCCTTTAACCTGCTCCATCTTTTAATAAGATCATGACTGTCTGTGTGTCACATTCCCATCTACCCCTTAGATTTCCCACCTCTACCTTAACAATATCCAATGACCTTGCCACCATAGGCTTCTGAGGCAGACAGTTCCAAAGTCACTCAACCCTCTCAGAGAATTTTCACCCTCACTCTCTGAACTCCACTGGAATCAAGGCCAGCCTGTCTAATCTATCCTATTAAGGGGGAGGCTAGTGATAGTTTGGAAAATGTCGAATATCTTTGAATATTCAGTTCCCAGTGCTGGTATATTGCTGTAATGACAATGAGATCATACCCCTGTTTCTCTGAATGTGCCTTTAGATCATTGACTTTGTTGTGAGTAGTGTGTGTGTTTAGGTACAGTGCCCTTTGTCTTTTTGACATCATGCTGTTCTCAAAATGTACTCAATCCTCAGTTTTGTTTCTCCTGTCTTCAGATCTCCTTGCAGCTTTTCAACTTCCTGTTACCAGCTTAATTACCTTCCAGTTTGTGTTAACCCTCAGGTTCCGGTCCCTGTGATGATCTAGTTTAAATCCGCCCTAGCAGCCCTGGTACATATCCCTGGGAGGCTATCACTCCCAGTCCCATTAATCTGCAACCCATTCAGCTTGTTCCACCTGCCTCAGAACTGGTCCCCATGTCTCAGAATCTGATGCCTCTCTCCTACAGTAGTTCTACAGCCATGTGTTCAATCGATTGAGACCCTCCTGTTCTTATACTTGCCAGCACATGGCACTGGGAGTAATTTTAAGCTTCTTGTTCCTAAGATCCTGCTTTGTAATTTCTGTCCCAACTCTGCCTTCAGGCCCTCCTCCCGCTTCCTCCCTCTTGTTGCTGGACCATGATCTCTGGTGAACCACTCCCTTCCCCAGAAGGATGTCCTGCAGCCACTCCGTGACCCCATTGACCCCGGCACCAGGAGACAACATGCCATCCTGGAGTTACGTTTACTGCCACAGAAACACCTATCAGATCCCTGACTGTGAAATCCCCTCTCTATAGCCCTTCCATTCTTCTCTGTACCCCCTCTCTCCCTTTGGTGTATGGACTTGTCTCTGGCTGCACCCCCCTGAGGAATTATCGCCCTCGCAAGTTTCTGATTGACAAGTACTTAGGGGACTCTTGCATTACCTACTGGGTTTTCTTACACTACCAGGTGGTCATCCATTCCCTCTTTACCTGTCACTCCTAATCAGTCACTCCCTGCTCTTGCTCCTATTTTCTTGTATAAGTGCCATCCACAGACACACAGTGGTGACTCCACTGCTGAAAACCCTGAGCTGAAGCTTGTGCAGCCGGAGACACTTCCTGCAGGTGTGTTTGTCTGGGACACAGGGTATGGTCATGACTTTACACGTACCATAGGATGTACTCTCCATCTGGCCCAACTGACCTGACATCCTGTAACTCCAAGAACTATTTATTATCCTCTGAATTAATATAAACTTACTTAAATCTTACGCTCACATCATCAGTAATGCTGTTTCCCTAATGCTGGGTCCTCACCTCACTCAGTCACTTTGATCCCTTAAGCACACCACTGGTTACAGCTTGGTGACCAGAAAATATATCACTCATACCTACTCTCTGTTTCCTGTTAACCAGTCAATCTTCTGTCCATGTCAATACATTACTTCTTCCACCATGAACTTTTATTTTCTATATGCGGCACTTTATCTAACGCCTTCTGAAACCTAAGTACAATACATCACTGATTCCTCTTTAATCCACAGCACATCTCACTTCCTCAAAGAACTCCAATAAATTAGTTAAATTTGATTTCCCCTTGGTTGAAGCTATGCTGACTCTTCTGGATTATCTTGGGTTTTTCTAAGTGTGCATCTACGATCTTATTCTTGAAAATTCTACCACCTTCTACACAACAGACATCAAGCCAACTGGCCTATAGTTTCCGGTCTTCTGTCTCCCTCCCTTCTTGAATAGATGGGTTATATATGTTATTTTTCAGTCTAAGGGAACATTCCTGAACTGAGGGAAGTTTGGAAAATAAACACCAATGCATCTACTAGCTCATTGACCACTCCTTTAAGACCCTAGGATAAAGTCTATCTGGATACAGAGACCTGCCTATCAATTTGCTCCATACTGCTTCCCTCGAGATTGTAATTTCACCAAGTTCCTCTTTCCTTTTGACTTCCTGATTTACAGTGACAACAAAAACAAAGTACACCCCACAGAGAGTGAGCAGCACTGCAGGAGAGGGAGGGACCTGTACCTGAGGGGTTGAGGAGGGGACCTGTACCCCGCAAGGGTTGTTACAGTTGAGGAGCGGAGGGTTTACCTATGAAGATGGCCTTCCAATGTCTCTCCTGTATCTCGGGGCGATGAAGATCCATCAGGATTGGTAAGAACTTTTTAAACTGCAACAGCATTTCTTCGAAGACGCGCAGAATCTCATCATTGGGAGGGAGAGATTCTCGAAGCTGGTTCAATGTCAGGAACCACTGGTCCAACATCTTCATCACCTGATTCAGATCCAGCTGAGGGGAAAATACAAGAGCTGAGTATCAGCTGTGTGGCTCCCAGATACTTCATAATAAAGCATCTCTTCCAATAACTCGCCACTCTTCTCTATAGCCTCTCAATATCCCCTCCTCCATTCCCCTTCCATTCCTCACAGACGCCTCTCCTTCCACCCTCTCCATTTTAAACCGAAACTAAAGCTCAATCTACATTGTTCCCCATCAAACACTCGCAGGACTGGGACAGCATGTGGTTAGATACAGAGTAAAGCTCACTCTACACTGTTCCCCATCAAACACTCCCACGACAGGGGCAGCACGGGGTTAGATATTGAGTAAAGCTCGCTCTACACTGTTCCCCATCAAACTCTCCCAGGACAGGGACAGTATGGGGTTAGATACTGAGTAAAGCTCTCTCTATATTGTTCCCCATCAAACACTCCCAGGACAGGGACAGCATGGGGTTAGATACAGGGTAAAGCTCTCTCTACACTGTCCCCCATCAAATACTCCCAGGACAGCATGGGGGTTAGATACAGAGTAAAGCTCCCTCTATACTGTCCCATCAAACACTCCCAGGTTAGGGATAGCACAGGGTTAGATACAGAGTCAGGGCAAGGTCTGGATGTTGGGTAACCTTTGGAAGCTGCTTATTCCTCAGAGCAGTTTTACAAGAGGAGGTTCTGGGTGTTTTCACTATTCAACTGAAATGAATGAATGTGGCAAATGCCTATTGAGAGTGACCCATTGAAGGTCAGTGCCTCGTGGGTGGGTGGGTCGCCCCATGCAGTTACTATACTGGGGTCTATGCCTTTAGTGAAACACTCCGGTCATTAACCCATCGGGATGAGCTTTACCTTTTTGTACACCGTCTTCTTCCAGTCCTTGATTTCCTGAGATGATGAATAGAAGAGATTCCACAAAGCTTGCCTGGAAGTGATATTCTTCTCCGTCAGGGTAAGAAAAGCTAAATCAAAGGGTTCACCTGCAGAAAGGACAGTGCACAGGGAGATGCAGTGAGTGACAGACAACCAGCAATTAGATCCACACAGACTCACCAACTGTGAGGGAGTCACCCCAGATAGTGAGTGATGCACTTGACAGACACACAGACCCTAAAGCACTGAAACTGTCTCTCTCTTTTACACACACACACACACACACACACACACACAATGGGAGGAAAGGTCTTGTAAGTGTCTCCAGCTTAAGGAACAAAGTATTTGACACCTGCATCTCAGGGTTTTAAATAAAGTAGTATAGAAATAGTGGACATGATGTGGAGGTGCCAGTATTGGACTGGGGTGGACAAAGTCAGAAATTACATGACACCAGGTTTTAGTCCAATGGGTTTATTTGAAATCACAAGCTTTTGAAGCACTGTCCCTTCGTCAGGTGAAGTGAAGAGAAGCATACAGGCACAAAATTTATTATCAGAGATCAATGGGCAGAGAAATCAAAAGATCAAACAAATGATGTGAGTGGACTGTCGATAGGTTGAACAATAATTCTCTGCATGTGATCTAAAGTGTCAGGTAGTGTGAGGTAGTGGAGGCATTGGCTGAAATATTCTCTCACTAGATTCCAGGAGGGTTCCAGCTGATTGGGAACCAGCTAATGCGATGCCCCTGTTCAAGATGCAAGTGAGACAGGAAATGATCAACAAGTCAGCCTAATGTCAGTTGTTAGAAAAGGGATTGGTAAGTCAATACAATTTCAAAAACAAGTAACGTGACAGAGAGTAAAGAAGCAGTCGGGAATCCCACTTCAGGTAGAGCAGGGAATGGCAAAACTACTAAATGTGTATTGATTAAACCGGTAGAAAGAAATAATAAAACAAGTGAATAAAGTATCAGTGGTGAGGGGTGTGTTTGAGTGTGTGGCTCGAAAGAGAGTTCTACGTATAAATACATGGAACATGAGGAATAAATTAAATGAGCTGCAGGCACAAATTCAAATTGGAGATTATGAAATAATAGGTATTACTGAGAAAAGGATGCTGGATGATCAGGAGTGGGAATTAAATATATCAGATTATAAGGTTTACAGGACAGACAGGAAAAACGGCAGAGTTGGAGCGACCTTACTGATTAGAAACAAAATTATTCCAATAGTGACAGAGATAGTAGGAACCGCCGATGCTGGAGAATCTGAGATAACAAGGCGTAGAGTTGGATGAACACAGCAAGCCAAGCAGCATCAGAGGAGCAGGAAAACTGACGTTTCGGGTCAAGACCCTTCTTTAGAAATGGGGGAGGGGAAAGGGATTCTGAAATAAATAGGGAGAGAGTGGGAGGCGGAAAGAAGATGGATAAAGGAGAAGATAGGTGGAGAGGAGACAGACAGGTCAAAGAGGCGGGGTTGGAGCCAATGAAGGTGAGTGTAGGTGGGGAGTTAGGGAGGGGATAGGTCGGTCCAGGGAGGACGGACAGGTCAAGGAGGCGGGATGAGGTTAGTGGGTAGGAGATGGGGGTGCGGCTTGAGGTGGGAGGAGGGGATAGGTGGGAGGAAGAACAGGTTAGGGAGGCAGGGACGAGCTGGGCTGGTTTTGGGATGCGTTAGGGGGAGAGGAGATTTTGAAGCTTGTGAAATCCACATTGATACCATTGGGCTGCAGGGTTCCCAAGCGGAATATGAGTTGCTGTTCCTGCAACCTTTGGGTGGTATCGTTGTGGCAATGCAGGAGGCCCAGGATGGACATGTCGTCTGAGGAATGGGAGGGGGAGTTGAAATGGTTCGCGACTGGGAGGTGTATTTGTTTGTCGCGAACTGAGCGTAGGTGTTCTGCAAAGCGGTCCCCAAGCTTCCGTTTGGTTTCCCGGATGTAGAGGAGGTCACAACGGGAACAGCGGATGCAGTATACCACATTAGCAGATATACAGGTGAACATCTGTTTGATGCAGAAGGTCTTCTTATGGGCCTGGGATGGGGGTTAGGGGGAAGGTGTAGGGGCAGGTGTAGCACTTGCTTCGGTTGCAGGGAAAAGTGCCGGGGGTGGTGGGGCTGGAGGGGAGTGTGGAGCGGACAAGGGTGTCACGGAGACAGTGGTCCCTCCGGAAAGCAGATAAGGGTGGGGAGGGAAAAATGTCTTTGGTAGTGGGGTCAGATTGCAGATGGCGGAAGTGTCGGAGGATGATGCGTTGGATTCGGAAGTTGGTGGGGTGGTACGTGAGGACGAGGGGTATTCTGTTTTGGTTGTTATTGCGGGTAGCGAGTGTGAGGGATGAGTTGCAGGAAATGCGGGAGACACGGTCGAGGGCA